ACACACACACACACACACACACACACACACACACACACACACACACAACTTGCTTCTTAAAATCAGCCTTTTTCATGCCATTGGGAACACCTATAGAATCTGAGAACCTAAAAAACGCCTAATAATCAGACCTAATGGCAAACTGTAACCAGATCGAAATGTAAAGACCTTTAACCTGAAATTTAGCTGGGTGGGAAAGATGGCAAATAGAGCAGAATTATATACTTGAAAGGTTTAGAGTTCACAGTTAGAATACTGTGAACTCAGAGAACACAGTTAGAATATGAGTATTTGTTTTGCTAAGCAGTGACATTTTGCTTTTATCTTATGATCTCTAAAAAGTGCCTTGAAAAATTCTGAACTAACTGTTACAGGGCTCTGAGCCATATTTGCAGCTTTGAGGGCAAAGGTACAGGGCTCCACCCACTCTTTGCTAAGCCTGGTAGCTACCCACTGAACTGAAAGATATGCAGAGCGAGTTAAGCATTAGGGTCATGTTTTGGAGGGAAAGGCCTAATTACAGATAATTTTTTCAAAAGGGAATGAGAGGGCATTTCCATAGCTGTTCTCCTTCCTGACTATGCCGCTACCAGACCGCATAACTCCTGTCCCAGGAAGCGTTTGTAAACACATCCCTCCTCTAGGCTGGGGGAGTATGACCTCCTCCCTTTCAGCTCCAGTGCACGCCAGTGGGCTGCTGGATTCAGGCTTATAAATCGAATGAAAGTTTGATCTTTCCTGAATAAGTGCTTAGCTTCTCCTGGTCATTGACACATAAAAGAAAAAAAAATATGGATTCATTATCATCATTCCCAAAGCGAAACAGAATCTGTAATTTTCTAAATAGGCCACTGAATTTGGAGGCGGTCCTGCCTGGGAAACCATGGTTCTAACTCTCGTAGAGAATAGACAGAAGCCTGCGGTTACTCTATGCTAGGGTGCTTTTGGTGAAGAACATCTGCACCACTGCTAGGGCACCCAAGGGCACAGAGGTGACTGTTCTCTAGACTTCCCTGGAGAGGTGGGGGAGGTGGCAGGACTGGGTGGATGGGTGATCTATACAGTCTCAGAATTGACATCAACAGTTTCATTCTGAAGATCTGAAATTAGCTCTAAATAAAGCCTAATCGCTCTTCAATACAGAAAGTAACCTTGTGTCCTAATAAGTAAAGAACTCTACCCTCTTCTCTCCTGGTCTAGTGGACCTGACTAGCATCACTTAAAAAGCAGAGCGTGAATCCAACATCCACAATTGGTTATGACACAGGGGGAACTAACAGATGGTTTAAAAGGAAAATAAAAGGTAAATGTTTTATTCCTCTCCAAAAAAATTAATAGTAAGACAAATGAGGATAGTAATAATTTAAAATGTTACTTAAAAACAAAGAAAAACACAAGAATTTTCTTATCTACTGTTAAGGCTGATGTGGTTCCAGAGACGTCTCCTCGCCACTCACAAATGCTCTTTCGGGCCATGTTCACACCTGACTCCCACACACCCCCAAATGTAAGGGGAAAATTCAGAATTTTCACAAATCTAAGAAATGATGCATTTCTCTTTGACTTAGGACACTCGCTTTTATCTTTAATCCAGCCCCCTCCATCCACGTTAAAATATGCGTCCATTTGAGAAAAGGACAGGGGACCACAGACTTCTCTCTGAATAACATGGGTGGTGGCAGTTGCGCCTGGAGACAGCTTCACTTTTTGAGGGATATCCTGGCTCAAGGGTGCTAGAAGGAAGAACGAAGCCTCAAATATGGTCAAGAAACAAACCTCTTTGAAGCCTTTGGAAACGTAATTAAAATTAAATCTGGTTACCTTATAAGTCGTCTAAGAAAACTGCTCAGGAAACCCTCTTACCTTTTTTGATTCATAAGAAGCTCTCTGTGAAGGTCTTGGTGGTTGCGGGATGTTTTGACAGGATTGACAAGTTTCTGAGGCCTAATTAGCTCAGGGTTGTCATCTTCTATATAGTCTGGCTCAGCCATAATGTTTCTTGGGATGAAGTATGCGTCCTTAAGGTCAGGATCCTCCAATGGGCTGTCTGAAAGAGAAAGACGAGACTCATTTGTGGTCTTTTCTGCAAAGCCGTCTCGTACAAAGGCAGAGAGAGGCCCAGTGCAGCTGTGCACGGCACACCCACGAAACACGCCACCCGCCTGGGTCCACTTTACTATTGGGTTGTCGGAAAAGTCATGATGTATTTTTCGATGTTTTTCATTGCAAAAATGGGTCATGACTTTTCCAACAACCCAATACTTCATTGAAAACTCTCCCGAAGCTCTGCGAAAGTAACTGGGGGAGTGAAGGAGAGAGAAGAGAGAAGAGTATCTGCATTGTTCTGGGCTGCCCAGGACCAAAGCACAGGCCCACAGGCTGGCTCTGGTCACTACCCATCACAGCTTGAGTTTCAGGTCACACAGGACGCTTCCCACCACCACGTCTAAAAGACCAACTTAACCCCACACATAGTGGGTGCTCTGTGAACGTATGCTACATTTACTGAGACAGAAGGGAATAAATACTCCTGGGGGCCAGGGCTGGGAGGAACAAGGCTGTGGCTGAGCCACAGGCTGGAACCATCTAGCAGGTATCCAATTGCTGTAGACCCCAAGGCACATCTCTTGGTCCTGACCCCATCCCAGCTCCCCTGCCCCCAAAGCAAACCTGGCAAACATTCCGAGATAATTCACACTCTGATGCTTTCCTATCCCTGTATGGTGACTTTATTTTCCAGACCAAAAATCAGATGATGCAGGGTCTCAGGCATAGTACTTGACATTGGGCCCTCCCTAGAAAGCCCAGGGGACGTGTTGACTAATGCGGTAGCCAGTTATACGCCCCTGGACAGAATGGCAATCCCCATGTGACAGGCTCACGCCCAGTGCTGCCACCTCCCCCACCTCTCCAGGGAAGTCTAGAGAACAGTCACCTCTGTGCCCTGGGTGCCCCAGCAGTGGTACAGATGTACTTCCTCCACAGAAAGCATCCTAACATAGGGTAGCCACGGGTTTCTGTCTATTCCCTACAAGAGTTGGAGCCACCTCTTTTCCAGTTTAAATACCTGGTCTAGCAAAGTGCCTGGCACATGGCAGAAGCTGAATAAATGTTGAGCCAAATCAAACCTGTACTAAACAGGAAAAATGGAGAGGTCCTCCATGAACATGCTTCTAGACAAAATAAAGACACGCTATCTTTATTTCTGCCCATGAAATCGAACATTTACATGCAAGTGAGTGTGTGTTTGTTTATACATGGAGCAGGGGTGAAGGGAGGAGAGGAAGCAGAGGTGTGCTTACATGGACTCTGGCATGGTGCGGGGAGTGGGGGGGGCATTGAAAAAGAATCAAGATGTGTGCAAACAAACAAACAAACAAACAAACAAAAACAGTTCCAGTGGTCATCAGGTACAACCAGGAGTTTTGGTTTCAGTCATCAGTGATGTTTCCCTAAATTCCTGAAATGTCCCAAACACCGCCATCCAATAATGCTACTACTAACAGGAAATGCTGTTCCAAGTGGCAGTCAGCAATGACCCAGTGCTTTCAACATGGCACCTGCGGGGATGTGATCACATCGGATCCTAGCAACAACCCGAAGAGCATAAGAACTAGAATCTTCACTTTACAGACAAAACGGAGGAACAAAAATTAAATAACCCATCCATGCTAATATCTCCAAGTAGTATAAAGTTCAAAAATGAATAAAAATGCATGTCCTCTCATCTCAAAACCCATGTCCTGTCTACCAAATTATGATGCTTCATCAATCTTTTGAAAATTAATGTGAAAATAAAGAGGATAAACATCCAAAGAATAAAGAAATGAAAACAGAAAAATTATAGATGTATCCTTTGTTTACCTATGCTAGGTGTAACTATATAATCAAGGCTCAAAATTACCAAACGCTAATAATACACATGTAACAAATTACACCAAACATTCCATAAACGCCACCTGCATTGACCTTTTAAACAAGAACGCCTCCGACCTTCACCAAATGGAGAATGACAAACCTGGCACATGTTGATTCAGCGATCCCATCACAGCCATCTGACTAACACACTGGCCCTCAGAAAAACGTGCCCTTGGGTGAAATCCGAAATGCACCGTGAACAACTCTCTGCTGTCCCAGTTGACTTGTAAGGGCCAAAGGCAGTTTCATTCTAGTTAATCAGTAGACAAGGAGGCCTACGTGCTTCCATAAAAGGATCTGTTTCTTGGCTCCAATCACAGGTAATCTCCATGTCACCAAATCAAAGGAGACTAGTGCCTCCTGAGGGTATCAGTGGGGGAGGGTATTCCTGTGGACACATGGCAAAAGAGAATGCCAGCCAGACAGAGGGAACAGCCTGTCCCTCCCATGCAAAGGCCATAAAGCAGGAATGAGCCTGATGGGTATAAAAAATAGCAAAGAAGCCAGTGCGGCTGGAAGGGAGCGAGTGAGGGCAGAAAGATAACTGTTGGGAGTGGCAAGTGAGAAGTAAGTAGCCCCATGACGCGGGAACCTGAAGGCCACTGTAAGGACTCTGGCCTTTACCCTGAGGGACAATGGGGGGCCATTCAAGGTTTTAAACAGAGAAGTGACAAGACCTGACTCATGTTTTTAAAAGATCACTCTCAGCTACCGAGTTTAGAATGGACTGAAAGCAGGGAAGGAAGGGATCAGGGAGGCAGCTATTGTAGTAATTCAGGTAAGAGATGGTTTAGACCAGGATGGCTCAGACAAACCGATCATGACAGATTTTTAAGGTAAAGCCTCGGAGATTTCCTTACAGACCAGAGATGACGTGTGAAAGAGAAACCAAGGGCAACGCTAAGGTTTCTGGCCTGAGCCACTGGAATGTTAGCATTGTTGAGGTGGGGCGGCTGTGAGCAAAGCAGAGGGGAGAAGAGATCAGGCATTCCGTTAGGGACAAGGTGAGTTTGAGATGTCTGCAAGACAACTCCGTGGTGACAGCGAGAAGGCAAAGGCGGTGCTCAAACCCTGGGTGACTCCTATGTCCTACTGATTTGACCTCCAAGGTTCCTCACTTCGCCGGCCCTCCTCCCACCAGCCCCCCACTCATCCTCTGCCCCTGCGTTCCCACTATCCCCACAAGGAGAAGCAACACAAAGATGCCCACTGCCAGTCTTTCCTAGAGGTCAGTGCCAGGGTACAGACATGTCTTGGGTTTTGGGGCCAAGAGGCAGGTTGAGCTTTCAGTGTGCAGAATGAAAAGGCTTCCGTTCTGAGTCTAAGAAATAAGTTCTAGCTTGGTTTTTTTTTCCTGATTCCTTTTTAGACTTAGTGTCTGTGAAGTCTTTCCTCTCCCACAGGACCAGTGCAGTAGGATGGGCCTCAGCCCGCCTCCCATTGGCGAGAAGCTGGCCCTGGAGAGCGCGGTGGGGGCTGGAGCAGTTCTGCTGGGAGGCGCCACCGTTTCCTTCTTGCTCACTGGTTTGCCCTTTTTCACAACACAGAAGCCCCTCTGCCCGAGTCCGGTGCGTAGACATTAAAAGCCTGCCTGTGAAGCAGCCTGAAGGAGTCCTTGTACCCCTCATGCATAGACCACACCGGGGTCCAGGAAAGGTCACTTAGTAAGGAGAGGGTGAACTGACCGGGAGCAACTTCTGTCACTCTACGTACAGATGGGAGTGGTGATGGCTGAGGAAGGATCTGGGAGCTGGCTCCGGCCACTTCTCAGTGTCTGTCCACCCCACAGCCACGGCCTACATATGGTAATGACCATCTAAATGACCTTCAACTTTCTTCCCTCTGCCAACCGTCTTCCTCATCACCAAGGCTGGAAAGGCCAGTGATCACCATGGAGCTCTTCCATCTCACAGAGCCCATCCTCCAATTGAACGGAACCGAGCAGGTACTGCTGCTCCCTGTGTTTGCACGTCTCGTCTCTGCCTTCCTCAGCAGCACCTTTGCAGCACCGTTCCCTCCAGCAGGGGTGCTGAACCTCTGCTACCCATCCCCGGAATGCCACAAAGCCAAATGTCATGCACTCCTTCAGATCCAGATCAATGTCCAATCTCCACAAAGGCTTCCCTAATTCCCTAGCTGCAATTACACTCAGACCTCTAAACATCTATGGAATTTTCTTTGTTCCCTTTTCCTAGTATTCACTGATCCCCGCCTTGTATTACAGCAATACGCATATAAATCTATCATCTCTTCACTGCAAAGGCCTGGTTTATGTTCACACTCCTCAGACCCTTTGGACTGGGTCGATAAATAGTGTTAAATTAAATGACAGTCAACAGTTAGCTAGCAGTAGAGGGAGCCCCTGAGCTGTCTGGAGTCCACAGCAACAGAGAAAGCAGGGATCGTGGAGGTGGGAGACAGATGGACGGAGGATAGATGTTTCCTCACTGAGCATCAAGCAATTCAAATGCCAGATAGGAAAGATGAGATAGAAGATGTCTGGAAATGAAAACGCTTTGTAAGTGGTTATTATTTATGGCTACAAGAAACACTCTTCCAAGAATAAACATGAAGACATTCTTGTCATAATCACTCCCCTGGTCAAGGAACCGCTTCACAAAGGAATGTTTTTTTCTTTTTAAAGTAAGGCATCAATGAAGAAAAACAAAGTGTGGACTCAGTGTAAGAAAAAGAAAATGATCTTGAGATCCTGAGCAAAGTGTGCTGATTTCCCCAACTGCTAAGATGATGAGTGTGGTCGTAAGAACTGGTTGAAATGTGGGTGTGAGTCATCGGTATAATCCCGGGCACGTCTGGGAGAACTCAATCAGCGGAAGCCACTACTAGCCAAACCGTGCGACCCACATCATCACGTATTTTACTTAACAGTCTGGAAAACCTTGTACACAAAACTCCACCTCTTTAGGCCTTGGTTTCTTCAAAAACGTTAAGAGTTCAACTCAATGATCCACAGGCCTTCTCACTGGGAGCAGTCAATGGTTCTAAGACCCATTTGTGCTACAAACATTAAGAACCTTCTGGAAAGTGTAAAAAGGTCTATCACACCTTTAAAGTGCTACACAGAGCTCTGAATGGCTCCAGCCAGACTGTAAGGGCGGAGCAAGGAAACAGGTCTGACAGCCAGAGCCTGTTCTAAGGTGGAGGGGACTTGCTGAAAAGACTTTAAGCAGGTGAATGATAACCCAGAACTGGATTTTGGACAGATATTAAGAGTACACACTGAAACACACCCCTTAATAACACACTGAAATATACCCCCTAGACACACCCACTTTAAGTTCTGTAAATCAACAAGTGAAGTCATTACTGAATTCCTCTCTCCCAGAGGTAAGGAAATCCCATCCTTGTTGATGGATTTGGGTCCCTGCTCTTCATTTTTTTCTCTTTCAAAGGCTCATTCCGGGCCGACTCTGTGCCTATTCAGGCTATTTTGTGTTGATTGCTCTCCAGACGTGAATAACCATTCCCAGAGAAAAATACCACAATGGGGCTAATAAAATAAACATATTGCATCTGAGTTTCCCAGCCAACTATTTTAGCTTCAGTTGTCCATTTGCATATTTCTACATCAAAAAGGTAAAACATATTAACATTAAAAACATTAAAACCTCATCCTATGAAATTAAAAAGTCAGGATTTAGAGGTTATGCTAAGTTTCATGTTTACCTAAATATTTAAAATCTAATTGTACCTGGAAGCACTAATAGGTGAATCCTTTTGAAGGCAGTGTCTGGAGCATGGCAGTGTACACAGTTTACAGGTAGGTGGACTGTAACCAATCAAAACCTTTGAATGGCTACAGCTACTTCTGGAGAGTTAAAAGTAATTCCAAGGTATCCTTTATGACCATCTGTTTCCCAGACTGACCCTAAGAGATTCTAGCAATCCTCTGACACTACCTAAGTCCTTAGGACTGCAGGCCAGTGAACGCCAGGCCTGGGTCAGTCTCCCTGGATCCCCGGCCATTTGCCTCAGCACTCACCAGGGAGGATGGCAGTGGCCGGGAGGAGAAAGGTTAAGATAAAGGGCAGAGTGAGCTGAGACAGGAATTTCTCCCAACAGCAAAGCCATTCACTGACAAACAGCCCTGAGGCGAACCTAAAATTCAGTCTTCAACTAGAGACTGTGACACCACCTGGTACCCAAAGGCACCAGACAAGTGCCCAGAGGACCTCTATGGCCACAAACCTACACTAAGGCTTACAAAGGATACCTCCCCAGAGCAATCTACACAAGCACAGATGCTGGACTTTTTCAACTCTGCCCAGCCCAGCTACGGCTGGAACTCCAGACTCTCAGTAAATTGGCTGCAAATATGCCGCTGGACACATGCCAAACAGTGATGCTCTTGGGAAAATACCAAACTCACTTTCTCACCAGATTTTTTCATTCCCCAAAAATGTATTTTTATTAAAAAAAAATAAAAAGACATATATTTTATATTTAGCAAATGGGAAAAGAAACATCGGGAAGACAGAACACAAGCCAAATATCAAAGATAAGAGGGCCCGGGGTGAGGTGAGACCAACCAGTAGGTGGCGATGGCCCCACAAATAACTAGGTGTTCCTTTCCATGAGGACAACCAGAAGCACAGTGATGACATCCTGGACCCAAGGCACTGTGAGTGAAAGCACACACCGAATGCCTCAGAGGTCCAGCGTGACAGGAATCCATGTTGGAGCCATTGTGTGTCTGCTCTCCATGTACACAAGCTTCTCCCCATCCTATAACCCTCACCATGGCCCTATGAGGTGGGGCTTACCATTCACCGTAGTCTATGAAGAAGGCTCAGACAGCTTCGAGAACATGGGTTCCAGATCACACTGCCTGGGTCTAAATTCCAGCTTTCTTATTTACTGTACATGTGCCTTTGGGCATGTTTCCTCACTCGTTAAAAACAAACAAAAAAGAATGGCAGATTATCTCATAGGGCTGTTACGAAGAGTACAAGAGAAATGTGTACCAAATGCAGGGTCTAGGAATAGTAGGACTTCAGTGAATGTCACCTGTTATTAGTGGCAATAAATAACAATTTATTGTCATTGGCAATGAACACCAATAATGAGTAACGATAACACTGTTATTGCTGCCAAGGTCACATAGCTTCTCGAGGGCGAGACCAGGACTTGAACTTGGATCTGTCTGATTCCAATGGGCTACTCTTAAGTATTCCACTCTCCGGACTGGGATAACAAGGGGGAAGATATGAGTTTCGCT